CCACAACATGAGCTGCAGGATTCCCCTCGATGAGGACCCGAATCTAGAATGCAGCTAAACCGTCTTATACGCCGTGCTCTATTCTGAGAGGAGAGGGCAGACGCCCCAGGCCTCATTAGAATGTGGGAGGTGAGGAGAAACATGGCGGCCCCCGGGGGCGGGGAGGCGAGAGGGACAGGGCCTCACAGCAGCTCCTCCCAGGCGTCCACCCTCTCAAGTTCTGGGGCGTGGGGGCCGCCAAGGCTCTCAGGTCAGCTGTGGTGCGAGCCTCGGGCTTCGAGGCCTCTCCGGACACAGGCGAGGCGCTGGGCAACGAGGCAGAGCTGCTCCCGCACGGACGGGGCTTTCCGTAATTTTTAGCCAACCCCTTTTGATGCATTTAGGTGTAATTTCTAAGTTTTTTATCATTCTTAGCATATCCTCCTTTGCATGCATTTACTAATAATGGTCACATAAATTGCTAGAAGCAGAATTATTAAGTTGAAGAGTATTTGTTTCCACATTAGAATGGTATTATCTTTTCTTTGATATTGTATTAATTGTATTAATTAATTGTATTCATTGTAATTAATTGTATTAATTACAGTGCCATCAACACTGTATGAAGTAGTTCTGGTTCCTTTATATCCATGCCAGTATGATTTATTATAGAGTGTTGGTCTTAACACTCTAAGTTAAAAATTCTGTAGCATCAATTGGCATTCTTTTATTATTAGTGAAGTTAAACAGACTTTCATATATATGAGAGCCATTTGTATTTTTTATATATTCACATTCTTTACCTATTTTTCTATTGGATTATGTGGGTTTTTAACCTATTTATAGGAACTTTTTATTTATTAATAAAATTATGACTTTTATATTACTTTTTTCAAGTTATTTGTTGGACGTTGATGTCATTATATATATATATATATATTGTGTGGAAGGTCATGTGGTCTATAAAATATTTTATACTAACAAAATCATTCATATTTTTTTCCCAATTTTCTGGAATTAATGCCACACCTCGAAGACCTTCCAGTATTATTAAATTATAAAAATATTATCTCAATTTTTAAAAAGCTTCCATAAAAACTATTTTTGAAGATAGGTGACTACATACGCATTTTTAAATGTTTGGGGATTTTAGTTTAATGTACTTTCTCAGATTAGTTTGTTTTTTTTCTCTAAGAATTTTTCGAACTCCTGACTCTCTAAGAATTTTTATTAAAATATATTTTGAAGTATCTTTCCAGTATCTATGAAATGATAATCTATAACTCAGATATTTTAAAAACTTTTATCAGTTTAGGTGCTTATAAAATGCTATGTTAAACAGGGTCACTGAGCACTCTTAATGAGAAAAGACTTCTTGGATTACAACGATGTCAGAGAAGGACTGAGGTCCTAAAACTCTCTCTCTTCTAAAGCACTGCTGCTCCAGGCTGGGAGTAAAGTGAGCTGTTACAGTCTTTCTCACAGCATTTGGAGAAGTCAGATAGGTTAAGTGATGTGAACTGGGAAGACATTCCAATGAGAAGTAAAGAATCTACATTCTTTCTGCTTCTTATTTTTTTGACAGCAGATTCTGTGAGCCCTTGTCTGTGTTTGCCTTCTGGGCTGGAAGGGAAGCTGCTACCTACATACTTTATAGTGTAGCAGATCTCATGCTAGTTGTCTCATAGAATGTCATCATGTCATTTGATTAATACCCTTAGGGTAGTCTAAGATGAGGAATGAAAGCTACCACCTTTTCTTGCCAAACGTTTCCACATCATGGTAATTTGAAAAGGAACGTAGATTCGTAGATTCGCGTGATATAATGAGCCTGATATAAAATTCCATGGGGTCCAGCAGTGCATGTGAGAGCAGCACACGCTCAGACAATGGTTCACCGGAACACAAGGACGTGAACTCAGTCATCCTTTTGGGTGGTGGTGTGCACGTCTCATATGTGCTCACTGGGCCCATGGCAGAAAGCAGATCAGCAACCTAGACTCTGATCGATAAACAACACTGGAGTAAAACAGACCTCAGAGGTGGGTATCTTGTTCAGCTCTGTTCCTTCCAACAGGAGTGCAGTTTTGCTTCTGGGTTCCGGACATAAGGAGCTTTCATTTCCCCGGCTTATGCAAGTAGTTAGTGTTAAGGTGGTGATTAGAACACGAGCCCCCTGCCCCAGGGCTGTCTCCTCTCCACACAGCCTTTGGGGTGAATCTTCAAAGGCTGGGGACCTCTCTTGACACATAACTCTTGTCTTCCAGTGCAGCCAAGGTCTAACACTGTTGTTACAATCTGTCTTCTTTTATGATCATTGGATCGAGCTGTCTGCACAATCTGGAAAATACTTGAATTCCCTGAAGCACAGGCTGCTTCAGCAGAACATTTCAAAGTGTTTCTTTCTTATAAAGCATTTGTTCAAAAGCACCAAGACATTCATGTTTGCCCTGACAAAATCAGTTCCAACCTTGTAAATTGAGTGACATCATTAGATTTTGTTTCCCTGAATGCTGACCACCTTCTCTACTATGCCACTCAGCTGTGATCTCACCTGGATTCCATACACAAGAGACCACAGACAGGCAGCTCTAGGCTTGCACATAGATGTTAAAACTGGCAACAGTGTGAATTTTAGACCCATCTGCTAGGACATCAGAAGCAAAGTATGTAGGTCCAATGACGAGACTTAAAGATGATTTTGTGGGTTTTTCTTGTTGTTGTCTTCAAGTTCATAAATGATTTCTCTTTACGTACTTTAAGATAATTCTAATATTGTGTGTGTTCTTTAATTGTCAATCAATTTAAAAAGCTGACAAAGGAGAGCGACTGATATTCAGATTCCCAGTTTCTGACAACTCAAAAACATGTACCTGTTATCTTGTATTCTGAGTAAGAGTGACAAATCCTTTTTTGGAGTTAATGAATGGCATATTTTATCCACAGTATACTAAACTAAGGTTAAGATCAAAGGATCTTTCTTACTTTCATGCCAGTGATAGTAAAAAAAAAAGAGTCAGCTCTTGATTTTTCAATTATTCATTTCCACTTCCAGGGTTCTACTACGTATCTGTGCCGAGAGTGATCGAAACTGTCTCCTAACGGGTTGTGCAGGCCGCGGCACGGGCACACACACCCAGACACAGGTGCGTGTATGCGTGCGTGTATATGGACACAGGATTATTTTACTGATATAAACAATGTGTAGAATACAATTTATGAATAATAATAAAATATACAATAATTTTTACTGTAAATTCCATATAACTGGTTGATTCTTACAGAATGCTTTTGTTGATTTTTTTGCTGAGCCTCGTTTATCTGTAGTCACATACAGTCCCTGTCAACTATTTCTTTTTTATGTCTTGATTTCTTTTACAAGCTTTAAAAATGTAAAAAATGTAAAACTTAGTCTTAACAAGCTGTAAGAAAACAGGCTTCAAGCCAGGCATGCTGACCCTTGGTCCAGACAATCCACAACACAATAAATCAAACCTTGATCTGTAGTGTTTGTCAATCTCTGTAGTGTAAATACTCCCACTAGGGTGGATGCCAAGCTACCAAAGCCATGCCCTGAACTCGGGGTGGGAAGAGCTGTGCCGTGCAGCCGGGCTGGAGTGTGCCCGCTGCACGGACCCACCAGCCTGCCAACTCCCGAGCACATGTGGATGGACGATGCATAGATAAGCATGTAGATATCATTAAGCAAAATTAGGAATCAGTGAATTTATTAACTGTTAAAGTACTTGATATAACTGCAAGTTTATGTAACTTAACTTTCAATAATGGCTGTGTTTCCCAGCCACCTAACAAAACTTTGGAAAATCTAGCATTTGGCCCTCATGAATTGATACAAGCTGATGCCAACGCACACCGCGGGCCTGTTTGTTTAGATGCCATAACTACTGGGGACTGTGTAGCATTTCATGCACTGTGCCCGGGCGTGCCCTTCCGACATTCTGCATCACGCTAGCCCTGCTCTTCCTTCAAGACATAGCAGCATCCCTTGCTAGGTGTCTTCTGCCATTTTTCCAGGTTGAGTCAAGTGCCCTCTGCTCTGTATAAATATATAGTTATAATTATACATAATTATAATATGAACATTATATAAACATATAATGTTTCTGCTATTTTTCTAGGTTGAGCCAAGTGCCCTTTCCCCATATAGATATATGATTATAATTACATATAATTATAACATATACATTATGTAAGAATATAATTGTACAAATATAAAATTTCTGTTAAATATATTCTAAGTCCTCCATGCCCAGGGCTTCACAACACCTTCTTGTCATGTAGTGGTTGGTTTCAGACTGTAAACTTCTTCAACTTTGAGGGACTCTGCCTCAGTCATCTTTGTGTGTTTACTGCCCAGCACAGAACCTGGTCTACAGTAGGGGCACAATTTGAACTGAACTGCTAGCAGAGATGGCCAACTCTTGGCTGCCAGTTTGCAAGGCTTGGTGCAACTTTCTTTGTATTGCAGAACTGGTTCATTTCCCTGCAACGCAGCAGGGGAGAAATCGCTCTCTGTGTGTATTAGTCAAATGTCTGCATCAGAAAGGATGTTAAAGACTAGTGCCTATAGTGCAGGTGTTATATTCCATAGATCTTGTTAATAATTTCTATATCTTCCATTAACTCAGATGATCAAAGCCATTTTTAAAAAAAGGAATGACTGCATGTAACCAAGAGACTAGATAGTGACATAGGGAAGCTATGTCACTACAAGCAGGAAAAAAATAAAAGTGAGAAGGAGACCTGCTGATTTTCCAATGTACACAGTTAGCTGATATGTCTGGGGCTCTTTGCACTGCCCCCAGGTACCCCCAGCCCCCTCGCTGCTCAGATTCTCTCTCTGGACGCCCCCTTGGTATACTGTCTGGCATCTATGGGGCGACGATGAGTCCCAGTGTAAGAGACTTCATTGTCCCACATCTTCTCCAACTGCTTTGCTCACTGTGTTTCTCCCTGCTCTTGAACAAGAGCCTGGGGCTGTGCAGGGAGAGTCAACCCACCTCATAGTCGATGTCCAAGGCATCCGCCTCGCCCGTGGTCCGGAAGTGCTGCGTGTGCTTGTCCACAGTGAAGTTCACCTGCTTGCCGACCCGCTCCATGAGGACCGAATGCCAGTGCTGATCGTCCAGGAGGCTGCCCAAGGTGGCCGAGGGCGGGCCACTGCCCAGCCGAGCCTTGCTGTCATCTGTGAAAAGGGAAGGGAGGCTGGATGGCGTCTGGAGTACTAGAATGTTCTGCAGGCGAGGCCAGCTCTCTCTATCCTGAAGGTAAAGAAGGAGGGTGTCTCTGCAGGCCAAGAACTGTGCTGGGCTTGGGCCAGAACAGCAGGCTTTGCACAGAGACTCCAGGACCAAATTCTAGTTCCCTTGGTACACACACCCCCTTCCAACATGAAGCAGCCTGTTCTCAGGATTGAACAATTAAATAATAAAAGGAACTACGGCCTAATGACTGCAAGACTAAGATTGAAAACAGGGATTTTGGCTGTTAGAAATCACGCACACTCTGAGTTTGCACAGCTCTTGGGTGGGGAAGGCAGATCCTGAGCTGCGCTTGGCAGGAGGGTGAGGCTGGGACAGGTGCTGGGGAGACAGTGGGCTCTTTGAGTCAGGCAAGTCTGTGGGCAAAGGTGAGGAAAGATCCACTCTAGTGGCCACTGTTGAGTACCTACTGTATGCACAGCACTTAAGTAGGAATGTATAACCCCCATCTTTAATCCTCTAAGGGGGAATACGCAGCCTGAGACTCAAGGAGGTTAGGACACATAAAAAGTGTCCTGGTGGCACACAGCACTCAGTGCTGGCACATGTGCTCAGGTGCAGCCAGATTCGAGTCCGGTCTGCTTGCTCCCTTGTCCTCTGGCCACTGCTGCTGATCAAGGCATGGGGCGCAGTGTGGACGATTCAGCCCAGGCTGAGCTTAGAAGACTCCCTTGGGAGGACAGAGCGGTTCAGGTGGAGACACTTTATTCATTTAAAACTACCTGGCTCCCCAACCCATCTCCCCTCTTCTAAATTTGTGGAAGTCCCTAAGTGTACCGTTTTACCAGAAAGAGGAGAGCTTTTCTCTTCCCCTGTGGAACTTGCCTCAATCTTGACAAAATGAACAATTATTACTTATGTATAAATTTCAATTTTTTAAAATATTTTATGTATTGAGTCCCTTAATAATAAAGCTAAATGTGTCTCCCCTCTCGCCTGGGGCGTGTCTGTCCCAGCACAGCAGCCGCAGCCTGTTCGGCAGGAGACATTGGGCGCAGGCGCGGCCACTTTCTCTGCAGGCTGCCACCTCCCGCCTCCGCTGTGGCCCCAGCCACTGTTCCCTTCACTGCGCTGCTCTTTGTTGCTTCCTATAGGGCTGGGGCGTGGGCTTCAAACCTTTTATAATTAGAAAGTGACAGCTGGTGAATTAATAGCTGACTTTATTTTGTTGGTTTATTCTTTGTTTGCTCCATGACTTTTTAATTCTCAACCATTTGTTGAATGAATTAATGGATTTTTTTTATATCTCCCTCCCCCTCCTTTCTTTCTTTCCTTCCTTCCATACAAGGTATTACATATAACCTACCTAAACTGATCACTGTGAGAGGTGATGGGTAAAGGGATACAGAGTTTAAGGGTATTCTATCCTCTCTGAAGGTCTTAAGGTGGAGAAGCTCAACAAATACATCCATAAAAAGTGTTCTGATGGCCCTTAGTGTGGGGACCGAGGAAATGCAGGGTGGGGGCTGTGAGGCTTCCTGACACAGCGGGCACAGGCTGAGACTGGACCAGAAGGAGAGCATGGGTACAGCAGGAGGAGCACGTGCCGGGCCGTGGGGAACGGGGCCGGGAGGCTTCAGTGCAGAGTGCGAGGGGCTTGGGACCTGGTCCCATCACCCAGGGCTGTGTGCACAAGGACGCACAGTTTATTCCATCTTTGAGGAAACTTAGCCTGCCTTGTAGACTATTGGTTCTAAGTAATAAGTCAGATCAGTTTAATATTGGAGTTTTCACTTTGAAATTGATGTGCATCTCACTTTTTTCCCTTAAAAAGAGAAAGGCAAAAAAATGAACAATGATTTATTAATAAGTCCAAAAGATTAAATATTTGAAAATTCAAGTCACCATATACATGACAAGAAAGAAATAATGGAAAGAGGAATCAATCATGCCCTTTTCCTCACTTATTTTCCTGCTTGCTATTCTCTAATAGAGCCAATAATAATACTGATTAAAATAAAATGTTTTAATATGTTTCTCCATTAAGATTCCTGCTTCAAACTATGAACTTAATTATGGTAAGGTCAAATTGATTATATTTTTATTTAACTTTTTGGATGCACTAACAAATCCTCCCTCCCTCCCTCCCTCCACCTGGTCATCTTCTGTTACCCACAGGTAAACACTATTGTTAAGGTCTTGCTTGTGCTTCCAGAAAAAAATTAGGCATTTGCAATCTAGGAAAGATACTTCTTTATTTCTCCTCATTTAATTTTTATCCTAATGGTAAAATGCAATACACATTTCTCTTAAATTTTCCATTTTTACTTAATCTATCCTGGAAATCTTCCTTTATCAAAACATAAAAAGTTTCCCCATCCTTTTTACAGCTGCAGAGTATTCCATGGCCTGATATACATATTTTATTTAATGAGTTTCCTATTGATACAATTTAGATTTTTCTAACTTAGCTATTTAGAACTGTTGAAATACTCTGTATATAGATGGCATCTTGCATGGGTACACCATACCTGTACCATGCATTCTTAGGTGAGGAATTGGTAGTCAAAGGTTGTCATGTTTGCAGTTTTGACACACCATGCCAAATAGCCCCTGATAGAGGCTCACCTATTTAAACTTCTGCTAGTGATTCACAAGGGGGCCTTTTACTACAGCCTTGCCAACAAAATATGGTCTTGCTTTCAATTTTGCCTGTCTGATAGGTTAAAAAAAATGTATTTCTGAGTAATTTTAATATGCATTTCTTTTAATATGAATTTTAATTTTATGAATTTAGTTTAATTTAATGAATATAATTTAATATAATTGAAAATATTTGGAATATTTAATATTGAATTAATATTGAAAATATTAATTGAAAATATTTTCATTTTCATTTCCTTTTCTGAGAACCGTCTTCCATTATTTCTTGCTTTTTTTTCTATCAGTTTTCTTACCAATTTGTATTTAGTTCATTCACTGTAATATGAATTTTGGCAATAACTTTTTGCCATTCTTTATTTGTTTTTAATGTGGCTTTTCTGTTTGGTTGGTTGGTCGGTTGGATTTGTTAATTATTGTGTTGATAAATTTAGTTCTTTTCTTTCATGGCTTCTGGATTTGTATTGTATTATAGTTTAGAATGCTCTCCTCCTAAGATCATTGAATGATTCACTCAAGTTTTTTTCTACTTCATTTCATTTGGAATTTATTCTGGTGTATGGTAGGAGACACAGTTCTACCTTTACTTTATATTTTGAGATGACTAACCGAGTGTCTTGAGTCTACTTTTTTAAAAGCTTTGAGTGATTTTATTTAAGGAAATAGAGTGTGTAACTTTCAAAGGTAAGAAGAAACACTGCCAAATTGGATGAGGTGGTCTGTTAAATTGATTAAATCAAAGATTTCTCAGCACACAGATCAGGCTCTTCAAATACTGACCTTCCAGTAGTAAGTTTTCAAGTTGGTTGTTGTCACACACACCCCCTTGAATTCACATCCACCATCCGTACTGCCCCCTCATGGGGACTGGACGCTGGGTGGCAGGAGCAGAGCTGGCAGGGGTAGCCCCGTCCACACTCTCCCCAAGGTGTGGAGTCCACCCTTCCTCTCTAACTCAGTCCTAACTCTGGCTCAGAAAGTTTGCCACTATGGTGCCAACAATTCTACCACTCACAATTTTAAGACTTTAGAGGAATAAAAATATATCTTCTTAAATAAATAATGACTACTTCTTCATATAATGAAACCATAAACTTAATTAACACACATCATTTTATGCAAATAGCTCATGGAATTTTTATGAATATTTAAAGCAATTTGTTGATCTTCCCTCAAAAATGGATTAATATTGCTCTTTGTTTACATTACTCACTTACTTAGCCAATATTTTTATGGCCTGAAGATTATGTGGATTTAAATCCCACCAATCTTTTGGAAAAGCATTTGTCAATAAGTATTGAGGAACTTAATGTTCATAACATTTTACCTGGTAACCCACTATCTGGAAATCTATTCTAAGAAAAACTGAAATGTGGTAAGAAATTTTTTTTTCAATGACTAGTGATTTAAAAATAATCCAATAATTTGGGAAGAGAAAAAAAAAACTTGAGTATATTTAGATAGAATCACCAGGTGGAATATTATATAACCATCAAAATGGTATTCATAAAATACTTACATCATTTCAAAAGTGTACTCAGTTGTGAGTGCCCTTTTTGATAAAATAAAAAGTAATATTTAATAAATAAAATATTTTATAATTTATACCACACTAATTTAAAATACATAAAACATGGAAAAGTATAAATACAGATTGAACACAACTCTGGAAAAGGCACAGATAAGCAGTATGTGCAGAAAAATCTCAAGAATACATTCACCATAACTTTAATTTTTAATTTTTTTCCCTGTATTTCGTTTTGTTTTTAAAGACAAGGTCTCACTCTGTCACCAAGGCTGGAATGTACTGGCTCACTCATAGCTCACTGCCACCTGGAACTTCTGGGCTCAAGCGATCCTCCTGCCTCAGCCTCCTGGAGTGCTGGGATTACAGGCATGCGCCACCATGCCCAGGGGCTCCTGTGTTTTAGACTGAGCATAACTATTTCTGATAATGGGAAAAATAAAAATAACTTCATTGAAAACATAATCTTCATTCTGCATAGCATATTCATTGAAAACTATGTATCAGTGATGTGTAAAGTATTGAATGGCTTCTGAATCGCAAGTTACTTTTAATTAACCAAAAAAGGGCAGCCATGAATGAATTTCATCTCCCCCTCCACAGTGATTCTATGCTGACACTCAGATATCTTGCATTAAAACAAGGTGAATAAATCTTGGTTTGGTTAAACAATTGAGTAAACTGAATCTGTGCTATTCATTAAGAAGAATGGTTAGAATTATATCTATGAAGAAAAAAGGATGGTAGTTCTAGGGAATGGTCCATCTTACCTAGAAATTTCCATTATTAGAGATTATAAGAAAAATTTAATTTTTAAGCAATTATCAAACTCTTTATCTTGGAATATCTATTTCAAGTTTTATCTCAGTGGGACTTAAGACTTGATTACTTGTTTTAACTAGTTTCTATTTTGTTAAGGCAAGGTAAAACTTGAGCAATTGTGAAAGACAAAATAAAATAATAATACTATGTAGAAGTTAACTTTGAGCCAGGAACATTTAAAGAAAGTAGTAATTTTTAATTAAATAAAAACTTTTTCATATGATTTGAAAAATAGTTAAAATGAAAAAATATATAAGTACTACCCAAGGCCCTAAAGAATATAATATTTTTAACAGAAATCTTGATATGTTTGCAAAACATTTCTAACTTTATCTTTTTTATCCTCCTACCCCTAACCTCAACAAGCTGTGAATAAATATGCCAATTCCTTCACTCTTACTTAGCACTCACACCTTCTGGTAAAGGGCATGCATACTGCAGTTTCCACCCAGATGCTTTGTTTGATTAAATCTTCTTTCTTGGACTTATCTTAGCAGTTCAAACATGGATGGCACTTTAACTTGCACAATCTGTGAATTTCAGATAGCCTGAGAAAAAACGGGATGGAAACTCTCTGTTTAAGGCTGTAATTCAGCATACAAAGCATCTTGGACAGGTTTGATTTCCCGTCGATAGGTGGCTGCTCATGTGAAGTTCCCGATGCCGGCCCCCATCCAACCTGCAGAATCGACCTTCCCACCTTAAGTTGTCAGACCATCAATACCGTTACTCACTGGTATTTATTAAGCTTATCACACAAGGTAAACACTTTACATAGGTTGTATCAATTATTCCTGAACACAACTCTGCAAAAAGTTCGGTCTCCAAGGAGCCACATGACTTATGCAAGGACTCAAAGAATCAGGGTTATGACTCAGCTCTATTTGACTGCAAAGCTAACATTCTCTCCACCACTCCTACTGGAAAAAAATCATACATCCATTGTCCCTCATTTCTCATATTCTTACTATCTGTGTTCCACCATCGACCCATACAAGCTATGTAGCTCAGTAGGAGTGGAGGGTCTCAGAAAAGAATCTGACGGGTAAGAAAGGAGAGAGCTGTGGAAAAGGAAAATGGGGCAACACTAACAGGGGGACACGGTGTAGAATGAGAAGGCAAATGCCTCCTCCGTAGGCCAGCCAGGGTCATCAAGGTGCCCCTGCCACCCTTGCTCTGCAATTTGCAGATGAAGGAATGGCCTCCTCAGTACTCAAGGGAGACTCTCTGAAGAAAATAAGAAGCTGACGGGAAGCAGTGTGTCCCAGTGGACTTAGCACTCAAACCAGACATATTTTCATGCATCTCTAACATGATGATACACATATCTTTAGTTACTAAAAAATTTCTAAATTTTATTGACTGAAAATACTCTAAATTTTATTGACTAAAAATATTCTAGATTTAGGAGTTGTTACTCAACTCTGGTCCCTCCCTTGTGTTCATCTTCTGTGACTTTGCAAAATGCTTTCTGAATACATTTATGTTATATGATTTTGATGATGCACAGTTGTTTTGTTTTTAATCAGCATCACAAAGCTAGAAGGCAGGTGGAAATAATTACATTATTAGCCCAGGAGCTCCTTGAAAATAGAGACTGGTAAATCTCACTTTTAGCCCCTAGTGCCAAGTTTAATGCCTGAATTAATGTACTTATTCAGCCTATTCTTCTGGCATCAATGATAGAATTTATGAAAAATGTGGTGCACCCTGTCCTGTTGACACTTTGTCTGAATGTCTGCCTCTCTGCCCTCTTCATCATCAAGTCTCCATTAACCCAACGTTAGTCCCGGACTCCTCTGTCCCCTCCTGATCTCTCCATTATCACAATTCACCACACAAATGTTGGCTGCTTGATGCTGAAATACATATTAAAATTACTCATAAATACATTTTTTAAACTATCATCAAACGGGCAAAATGTTAAAGCTAGGCCATATTTTGTTGGCAAGCCTGTAGCAAAGGGGACTCTTGTGAATTGCTAGCAGGAGTTGGAACAGGTACAGCCTTCGCAAACACGAAAACCAATGATATGAAGGTTTGTAACATTTTAGTGATTAATGTCAGCATATTAGGGTAGAATTAGAGAAGGTCCTAATTTCCAGTATACAGCCAGGCAGCTGTGTGACCTTGAGCAACTGACTGGGCATCACTGACCACGAGTTCCTTCGTCTGTAAAAGGGTTTGGATATAGCTCGCAGGACTGTCCTGTGATTTAAATGGGATATACATTTAAAATGGTTAAGGAAATGCCTAAGTATGAGATCTCAAAAAAATGACAACTTGAAAAAAATCTCCATAGAATCTAGTACAATTCTAGACACATGATAAACATTCCGTAAGTATGTGTGAATTGGCTGATTAGAATGCCTGAATTTCAAAAAAGCTAAAGTAAATGTTCATTTGATTTTTTGGAGAATGTGAAGAACTTTCCCCAATATCTCAACGAGTTGATCCTGTAATATGGCACTTCGCATCTGAATCCTGCACTTGGCCCCCAGAGGACATGGGGCTCTGCACGTGCTCCTTCTGTCCTAGGAGTCTCACCCTACTGCAGCTGCACGCACTGCGGATTGCACAGACATACTGCCTCAGTCCAAAGGCGCTGGACTCATGTAAGGATGAGCGACCCGCATGTACTATTGACGTTTTCTTTAGTTCTGACCACAGTTCCCAGTCACGTAGTCTCTCTGCTCTTTGATTCTCTGCCTGCAGGTGTGGGTTTGGACTGTGGTAATTCTACAGAAGCAGACTACCATGGGCAACTTGAATCAGATGTGAAAAAAGTGGGAAAGGGGAACACATCTAACCCCCTTAGATATGTTGAAAGAAGAAATCTCTTTCCCATTTAGTAGTTCCAGAAAAATCAATGTTCTACCTGACAAAAAGTAGGCAAAAAAGAGCCACCTAGTAAACTTCCATCATAAAACTGATTGTGTTCAAGTCAGACATACTAAGGGTAAGTAGATAATGTGAATCGGAGACTTGACAAAAGAGTGTCGCTTAAAAAGAATATGTCTCCACACACCTTTCTCAGCAGCTGGCCGCAGCGGCAAACTTCTTCACTCTTAGCCTGGATTTAGGAATTGCAGAGCCACTGCTTAGATAGTGAACACACATTGCACACTGGAGAATCGTCACTAACGCAAACACTATTAGAATGTCTGTGTCAGCTGGGGAGGGAAAAACTAAAACTCCCTCCTTCATTGGACCAGCACCACTCTTTAGCCCATTAACTTGAATTCCCTCTTCCTCCCCTTTCTCTTCCTCTCTCTCCTCCTCTCTCTCTCTCTCAGTGCTCCCTGCCTTCTGCACTTGGCTTCCCCTTCTTTCAAAGGTGCCTTTGATCACTGACCACATAAAGGAGGCCGAGCCCCTTTCCCTCCTCCCTGGATTAGGGAGTTGCTTACGATGAACAAACTCAGAACTGCCTGTCATGAAGCAGACCCTGGCGAGTACCAAGCCACAGAAGGAGGCTCGTGCCCTAAATGGGCAGGAGGCAGGAGGACATTCTGTACTGAATTCACCGGCATTTGGTAAGTCTGGGGCTCACCCTGGTACTGCCAGGACACTGAAAGTAAACAGAATTTCCCTTAAAAAACATGAGAATGGGCCGGGCGCGGTGGCTCACGCCTGTAATCCTAGCACTTTGGGAGGCCGAGACGGGCGGATTGCTCAAGGTCAGGAGTTCGAAACCAGCCTGAGCGAGACCCCGTCTCTACCAAAAATAGAAAGAAATTAATTGGCCAACTAAAAATATATATATACAAAAAGTTAGCCGGGCATGGTGGCGCATGCCTGTAGTCCCAGCTACTCGGGAGGCTGAGGCAGGAGGATTGCTGAGCCCAGGAGTTTGAGGTTGCTGTGAGCCAGGCTGACACCACAGCACTCACTCTAGCCTGGGCAACAAAGTGAGACTCTGTCTCCAAAAAAAAAAAAAACATGAGAATGCCCAGAAACTTATATTTGTCTCTTGAAACATATCATTCCCTTCCCTTCTCCAAAAACAAAAACAAAAACCACAGAGCAAATAAAATGTTTCTCTTTCATTTTTCCTCTGAAACCTAATTTTCATAAATGTACCTAATAGAATAGATTGCAAGCAAGTCTCCTTATAATACATATGTGTATTAAAACTTGTTAAAGTTATTTTAGAGTTTGAATTACTAAAATAGGTAAATGGGTAGATAGATAAATACATAACAATGAGCTTGCAGCTCTCTCTATATATTAACATTATCTTGTGTCAAAAAACGCTAACCATTTCACAATATGTCATTTTTCTGCCTTCACCCAGATAAGGGAAATATGTCACTTAGCTTGTGCTCCAGTGACTGCCATCTGATGCACTGGAGGTGTCAGGAACTGTGACCTGCTGCATAAGGGACCTCCCCATTGTCCAACATGAAAAGGGAAGAGACAAAACCCAACCCTACCCAAGTTGAGGTACAGGGCGAGCCTCCCCTTCTGGAGCTCCAGGGTTATGTGGTCTCCACGTTGACCTTCTCCATGGAACAGGACGCCGTCCCCTTGCATGCTCTTGAACTTCAGGGAGATCACATCTTTGAGAGTGCTCATCAGCTTCTGATTGAACCTGTACAGGAGGGAGCTTCGGCCGTCAAAGTCAGCGACGTCAGATTCTGGCACAGAGAGATGGGTGGTGGGAGAGAAATCAGTGCATATTCTCATGACTGCTGTTCCCATTCCCATCCTAGTCGCTGTCTAATGCACAGAAATGTTCTTGAGATCTGGGAGGTCTGGTCTCAACAGGAAGCATATAGACCCAACCCAACCTAATTAGACTCAGGAATTATTCATTTATGAGCAACCACCACACACTGAGTGGAAGTGAACTGATCCTCAGCTTAGAAGTAAAAACTCTCATTAGTGATATGCCAGCTTTTGCTCCAGGGGCCAGGGTAAGAACACCACAACTACCTACGTCAGGTTTACTGTGCCAGATGCCTGGTTCATAATCATCTCTCACGATTTATCCTCCTTATTAACTGGCTTCTGACAGTTGGAACCACTTGATCTCCTCATCCCAAGCTCAAGGTTCCAGATGAAAACAGAGATCACTGATTATTCCAACTCTGGTTGAATAGTGCTGTCTTCCTAGAACTCTGTGCTGAGAAGGGTTCTAAGACTTCTTCCAGGCTAAGCAGGAAAGGCTTGGTATTGGAACAGAGAAGGCAAATTACTGCGTCCCTGTCATCCCTGCTTTATCCCATACTGATGATATAGATCACTTTAGTGATTTTATACAAAATGTCTACTCATTATTATTAAAGCAAAAAACAGAGAAGGCCAAAGAATCATGATCTAGATAAACTTACATAGTTGACGTATATAGACATGTCTAACAGACATATGTCAGAGTCTGCCACTTCTATTTGGAAGGTGATATCATAGGTTATTTTCACATTCTTTTTCCTATGTTTTATGTAAAAACAGTTTTAGAGTGAGCTTTTATTACTTTTATAATAGGAAAAATGTAAGGCTATGTAATTATAACTTGAAACAGATTCATTATAAACCATCTCATGTGGGTGGCATGGTGGTGAATGAGTAGGTGGTGAATGAGAAGGGGGTAGAATTATTCTTATTTGAAATCCAGTACCCAGGAAAACTCAATTTTTCATTATTTACCAAGCAATTAAAATCCTCAGCTTGGGAATACACACTGATAGATTAAGTACTTTTTTTTTTGACCAAGGATCTAGAAAAATTCTTTGTAAGTCTGAAATTCTGAAAAAGGAAAATAAAATCATTCTTTTCTGTAGTTAGTTTTAAAACACAAAATCACAATTTATTTCTATGTAATAAAGTAGTTTTAATGGAAAGATTACTGATGACTGCCTAGACCATAAAATAGAACTGTTCAGATACATAGAGATTGTCACAAATGCCCACCTTTCTCGGAACCTCCTCACCCCACCCCATCAGTGACCTACACCTGTTTTCTAAACTGGAATTCTACTCAAACCAAAGGCAGGCTATAGACCACCGCTTCAACCGTGGGATAACAGGGATTGTGGTACAGATAAGGTCATGGATTTTCAACTGTTACAGCCACAGCTTGCTAGTGGATCACCTTGGGCAACTTTACCTCTCCAAGACTTGATTTCCTCATCTATAAAATCAGGATAATTATAGCCATTGTAGAAGACTGCCGTGAAAATTAAATGTGCTAATACTTGTAAAGTGACAGCGCATCAAAGCAATGCCATCACGCATGGCACGTTATTTGTGTCACATCAGTAGTAAGTAGTAGGAGCGTTAGTGGTGAGCGGGATCACCAGAGGGCTTCAGCTCCTAACCCCGCTGACACTCCATCGTCTCACCCAAAGGACACTTCATCAGGGTTTCAGTCAATACTTTATTGCTCAGGGATTGCCAAGGTGGCCCCAAGTTTCCTACTCTGCTGTATTTCAGCTCCTCAGACATAGTGTTTTCTTCTGATGGCTTCTAGTCTGCCACGGTGCCAGCTCCTGGGGCAGAACTGGGTGTGAGGTGATTTAGTGCCCAGAAGTGAGTAGGATGACCACACAGCATCCCTCAGAAATTCTAAAGGCGATTCAAGGAATAATGCCCATACCAAGGAGAATGACTCAATCCCAAGGGGGCAGACTCGGAGAGGGTTTCTCAGAAGTAAGAAGTATATTGGTCTTGAGCAATACAAAGAAGTTATCCAAGGGAAGAGGGACCCCGTGTCCCCAGGAGGGGGACAGGAAGCAGGAGAATGTGTGGTGCATCGCAGGAGGCCAGCGTGGTGGAGCAGGGGATGAGCAGGAAGATCTCTGGGTCCCCACGTGGTTATTTCCTACAGGCCGAGACACACAGCATGTGCTGTGTCTGTTAAGCAGTGACTCGATTCCGTGCGCTCATGGAAGCACACGGCCCTCCCGTAGGCAGATGTGGTGTTTGAACTTTGGCTTCCGCAGGCCCTGGGCACACCGTTCTGTCTTTGCCCTCACATGCCATGTTGGAGTCACCGCCCACGAGCGGCGTGCATTACAGCCACCCGTACCGCCACGGCACTCGGCCTCCTGAGTGTCATCGGCCCAGTGCAGAGTCTGAGTCAGGCCGGCAGTGCCCGTGTGTGGCCGAGTGAAACAATATGGAGCAAGTTTGCCTTCTTCTGCCTGGGAGTGACATTAAACGAGGGGGGGAAGCCTGCTTTGGAACGCAGCATCTGACTCGGACCAAGTTTATGTCAAAACTGCGGGCCTCACTTTCTTTCCTTGTAAAATGGTGCATAATAATGCACTGATTTACATGGACAACTAATTGTAAGGATGCAATTAGGAAGTCTGGGATAAAAATTGTATAAACATTCATTATGTCGGCCTTATTTTCTCCATCCTTCTTCATTTTGCATCCCTTAGTGTGGTGTCCCGAGCCGCCAGGTCCACTCTGGAAGGGCTGAGGTCTTCGGTCAATTCCTGAGTTCCAGCCTTCCCAGTCTCCCGCCCCCACCCCACCCATCACAGCTGTCACGAGATACGCTCATCTCTCTAATTAATGTCTGCCTACTCTGCTGACTTAATCGATGATATACATGTCGGTGACATAGGTTACCTCTAAGAAAACACATCTCTGTGTTGTCATGGAAACCTAAAGGAAACCGGGCCAGTCAGGAGAATAACAACAACAACAAATACTGTTGGAATCTAGCAGACCTGGATTTCAATTCCTGTTTTGCTACTTATTGGGGGGCTTGAGGCAACCTTCTTGATTTCTCTGAGCTTTGGTTCTCCCATCTGTACAATGGGGCTCGTAGAAACCTACCCTCAAAGTCGTTGTGAAAATTATGGCAATGCAGAGGCACCCAGTGACCATTCCATTCCCTCATTCCACATTAATCCAAAGGAACACGACTCCATGGTGTTTAGATTTCAAATACACGTGACAACAGTATCAAGAACACGGCATGAAGAAACTGAGCTTGGGTTTGGGATTCAGTAGCGGCCCTCACACTGAGCAGGCATGCACCATTGCCTGTTGAGCCTTCATCACAATTGCCTGCCTTCCATAACCTTAAAACAGCCTCAGAACTGACCTTCCGGATTCAACCTCCACCTGATACAGTCTCTCATTTTCATAAAACATAAGAAATGTCATATCCCACCATTGCTAAGGCCCTTCAGTGAATTTCCTCTGAGCTAAGAATTAAATCGAATCTCTAAGACCCCAAATAATATGGCTCTGCCCACATCTCTCTCTCTCTCTTTTTTTTTTTTTTAAGACAGAGTCTCACTTTGTTGCCCAGGCTAGAGTGAGTGTCGTGGAGTTAGCCTAGCTCACAGCATCCTCAAACTCCTGGGCTCAAGCAATCCTCCTGCCTCAGCCTCCCAAGTAGCTGGGACTACAGGCATGCGCCACCATGCCTGGCTAATTTTTTCTGTATTTATTAGTTGGCCAATTAATTTCTTTCTATTTATAGTAGAGATGGGGTCTCACTCTTGCTCAGGCTGGTTTTGAACTCCTGACCTCGAGCAATCCGCCCGCCTTGGCCTCCCAGAGTGCTAGGGTTATAGGCGTGAGCCACCGCGCCCGACCTCGCATCTCTTTGTTTATTTCTCTTTGCACCCCCACTGCTCCAGGCATGCTGTGACTGTAGTGTGTGTGCCCACACATGTGTGTGTGTGGGCAGTGTTAGATCATGTATGGCGCCCACACCACAGGCCCTGTAACTCTGTTTTTGGTGCATGAACTCATTCAATCATATCAATTACCCCTTGAAGAAGATACTATCATTATTCCCGTTTTACAAATGAGGTCGACATGGCACAAAGAGATGAGGAAGTGTGCAGTTAACAAGTGCCAGAGGCAGCAGTTGAACCTGCCCCATCCGACCTGAGCGCTGTCCCGGGGCTGCCCTCCCCCCACAATGCTCCGTCCCCCGGCGCGTCACTCAGGCTCCTGGCCCTTTCCCCAAGAGGTTGCGTGCTGGTCTCCCTCTAGGCTCCTGCCAGTCCCTCCACCATCCACCCACAGTCGGATGGGAGACTTGTTTTCCGAGTCATTTGCAGTCCCGGCTCTCACGTCAGCACATCCCGTGAGGACAAGGGCCAGATGCACATTGTTTACCGAATTAACACAGCCTGGCACTGGACCTGGAAGGTTATGCTGGCAGGAAACACTTGCGAAATGAGTTAGTGACCCATCGTGGCACCAACGCCCGAGTGTGATGCTGCCTGGCTGTCCCCTGACTTCCCGCCACGCCCCTGCCCCTCCAGAGCCAGGCTGCCCATTCCCACTTAGGGGGCTAACTTTCTGGGGACACACACTCAGCCACTTGAGCTGTGACCCCTGCATCACTCACATATGCTCATCCATGCAGAGACAGGACACTGTCTCAGTGAGCATGGGATTAGCTGGGTGGGGGCAGGGAAGCTTTCCTCCTAATGCCACCCACATCCGAGGAGAGCAACACTGTGCTGATGCAAGAGAGCTCAGCCCAACGCCCTGCACCTGTGCAATGTTAATTAAGTTGTACACGCAACACATCAGCTATTTCACAGATGAAGAAACAGGTTTTAAAAAGTTTTTTAAGAAGGATTAAAATTTGCCCAATTGAATACTTCGTACCTCTCCTGACACTGGGGAAATGCTCAGCATTCCCAACTTCATTTGG